CGCCCCCCGATCGACTCGCGAAACCGACTTCTCTTCCGGCTAAGTAAATTCTTGCTAGTATCTCGAAGGACAAGGGACCGATATCGGGGAAATCGAAATTGTTTACTTTCTTGCTCGTTCTCTCACTCTCTCTCTCTCTCTCTCTTGCTCTCTCTTTCTCTCTCTCCCATTCTCTCCCTCTCGCGCTCTCGTCTCCTATCGCTCTGTCTCGCTCTCTTTCACTACATTACTTTCGATCGACTACGATTGGTGCATACACGTCGTTACGATTACCTGAGTGACATCGGGGGGTGCGGGTAGCTAACGCGCGGGACACCCCGGCCGTCGGGCGAACCTCTGCTAACTCGGAAACGGAGATAAACGTCTGTGGTTTCCGGTCGCGCGACGGCGTGGGGCCGCGTCGGTCCGCGGCCCGCCCTCGTCAGATCATTTTGCCCTCGGCGGCTCGACGCGTACATGCCGGAGAGACTAGCACAACGCGTAATTTACCCTAGCCTTCGTCACGCGTGTGGTGTGTCTCGGATATAGAAACGATCGGGCCGATCCAGCCAGCCAATTCTACATGCCGTTCTGAGGTGCTCTTGTAATCCCGAGTGCGCGTACGGGCGTTGGACAAAATAATACGAACGCTTTGTACATTGAACCCTGAATCGCTAATTTCTCGCGAAGGCAGCTATCGTATCCGACCGAACAATTTCTGGCCTTTTTCTCACCGATTCGGAAAAGCGCCAACGTCTGTGTGTGCTCCTTTTACAATGTTCGTACGGTAATAAGAAATATTACTGAAAACAGGACTCGCTTCGTCGACGATAGCGCCCGCTCTGACTACACGGCTCAGCGATCTGAACGTGTCATCGTAGAAATTCCGAATAACGCGTCACGGAATATTCCTCTTCGGATACTCTTGGAGCATTCGGGTTCACGGCTATACACCATCATCCCCTAACCTTCCTACTACTTTATCCAACCCCCACGCGCGTCTGTGTGCAAGTGTCTCTCTCCGTTCTCCTCGCGCACATACCGGGTGAACCTGAGCCGCGAACGCGGTACCCCTGACACGGGCACACAGATCCATCTGGGTACGTACGAGACACGTGTATAGATGATTCCGAGAGTACTCTACACGGGGGCCTGAATTGGTCTTCGGCCGGCGGTCGATCGCGTTCGTGCTTTATTGTCGTTGATGAAATCGACCGGCGGCCAGTCTGGTTTCCAAGCTCGACGATCGTTCGGGATCTCGATCCGTTCAGTTCCCGTCCCGGTTGCACGCGACGAGGAGCGTTCGATTCGCGGTATGACACGGTACGGGGCTGCTGGAGGATGATAGGGGCTGGAGAGGGTGGAGCATCTAGAAGTGGCTAGCGCAGGCCCGACTTCACAATATCGGCGGTAAAAACGTACCGGAATCGTCGAGATTCGGGTCCAGACTCGCGACGATATCGCCGGTCGACGCGTGTCTCGACGTGGCGGTCGGGGCGGTGCTGGCGAGCGCGTGGCTGCTCGCGCTGCCGTTCAGCTTGCTCTTCACCACCAGCCCGGCGTTGTCCGCGTTGTCGGCGGTGCTGATTCTCTGCACATATTTACGGCCTTTGTAGAGTCGGTACATCGTGTACGGCGGATCTTCCACCGTGGTCGCACGTTGCCGGGGCGCGCTCACCGTTACGCTCACCGTCTGGGCGTGGGCCGACTGCGAGGACGTCTCCACGGTCGTCGTGGTGTTCGCGTTCGCCGTGTTCGTGTTCGTGTTCGCGTTCGCGTTCGAGCTCGCGTTCGAGTTCGCGTTCGCGTTCGCCGTGTTCGTGTTCGCGTTCGCGTTCACCGTCGACGTCGCCGTCGTCGAGGAGGACGAGTTCATGTGGTAGGACGACGAGTTCAACCACTCGTGGCGGCTCGCCTCGCTGGGGGTCATCCGCTTGTATGGATCCCACCTGAGGATACAACAAGGTTACGATATATATATATATATATACATATATATCATCTATATATCGTGTCTCTTGCAATTTTCAAATACTCTATATGTACAGCATTTTGTTAGTCGGCGTCGTTCGCGAGCAGTTTGTTAGAGGGAAACGAATAAAAGCATCGATTAAAAACACTCACTCGAGGCATCTACTGATAAAGTCCACGAATAGGCTGTCGGTGCAGCGGAGAACCATCGAGAGATTCTTGCTACCGACCCACCTCTTCTTGCCCTTGCTGTTTGTCACGCATCGTGGACTTCCCTTCGGGTCTGAAAACGATCATTTCCATTATTCAGTTTCGAACCGTAATTACCCAAGTCCCCGGGACGGTCTGTAATCTCGTATAATCAAACAATGCGTAACGTGCACGACCGACTGGCTTCGTAAACTACATATATCGAATTCGCGACGCGTGTTCACGCACTGGTAAATTCTATGCTCACGGTTGAAATTAATTTCGACCTTTACAGTGGACGCTTCCGAAGCAGGTACGCGGTGAACGAGACGCGCGGAAACCGTGTTTCGATTACATCGGTAAATACGTGCACGTACGGTCGGTGTTTCTCTTTTAACTTTTACGATATACTTTATAATTAGACAGCCCCTCGGAGGAGGGTCTAATTCGTGAAAATCACGGGGAAGCTTGAACGTGTAACCTTCCCCTGCTAAACACCCTCTCCGAAAAAGATCGATACCTCGATGATTGAAGTATAAAAATAAATGTTGGAAAACTGGGGAGACGATTAAGAAATATTCATTTGGTTTCTCTTTTGAGCGTTCAACGGATAAGAGAGAAGAAATTTGCCAGAATGGATCGTACCGAAGAAAAGCCTGCGACGTGTCGCGTGATTGATGATGTAATTCGGCGGCGCGCCGAGGACCTCCATGATGCAGGCGAGTTGCTCGATCTCGTCCTCGCCCGGGAACAATGGGCAGCCGGTGTACAGTTCGGCCAAGATGCAGCCCAGACTCCACATATCGATCGGCGTCCCGTACGGAAGGCCCAGAAGCACCTCCGGGCTCCGGTAGAACCTGGACTGCAGGTACGTGTACACGCGCTGGTGGCTGTAGCACGAGGACCCGAAGTCTATCACCTTGATCGAGCTGCTACCCCGCTGCTTCAGAAGCACGTTTTCCTGGAACGATCAAAAGCGGCCGATCAGCGAACACATACCGTGTATCGACAAGACGAATGATCGTGTTCACGGCGATTCGATGGTTTTTCAACTTTTCCGCGCACAGGCGCACCGACCCGGCGGTAAGTTAGGGGTAGTTCGGGGACATGGAAACGAAATACGGTTCAGCTGAATTCGGCAACTCGAACGCAACAATTTCTGTCCAGTTGGAATTAATAAGGATAAATAGCAAGTTCTAAAGGGGACGACGGTTCCAGCAAGGGGTTAATAGTTTTTTCGTTTCTCTTCGACCGTGGTTTCCCTCGTTCCCGCGGTTCACCGTCAAAGAACTCCCGCGTTCGCCGGACAATTTATTTCCGGCGTTAATCGCGGCGGTGGCCACCGCCGAACAGAATTTTAACGATCGTTAGGGGTCCGGCATCGTGAAAGGATAGCGCTAGCGAGCACCGCCGGTAATTATCTCTGCCGAGGCGAACACCGGCGCGGGCAAGTATAGTTTGGTCTTCGGACTTTCTAAGAGGACGCAGCATGCACGCGTGCACTCACCGGCTTTAAATCGCAGTGGATGATGTTCTCCCGGTACAACAGTTTCAGGCAGCTAATCAACGAATTAGCGAACCGTCGTATCAAGCTCAGGCTGAATCCCTGGTAGCTGTTCCTTTTGATTAGTTCGTACAGGTTCAAACTGCGAACGAGAGAATTGGAATTTTGAGTAATCTGTAGGTTCACGCAGCATATCTCTTTTAGCGGCGTGTGGCGAGCGTGTTTCGATCACGGATAGAGACCGATTCTTTGCGTTCGATGTATCGATTAGGTTTCATCGTTGGCATCGACTATTGTATACACGGGAAAACGAGGCGGCCGAATCGTTTGATTCTCAAGCGAAAAGAAACTTGCTACGATAATCGTTTGGAAATTAAACAGGCAATCGCTGTCCGATCGATACATTCGATTACCACGGAACGAAGAATATCGATTTCACTGAAGATTCGCATCATCGTTCGAAACTCGTGAATAATTCGCAACAAATAAACCATACGACAGGCGTTTAACATTAGGTTCACGGACATTCGTTCCAGTTTGGACGGTAAACAGCGTTTCGAAAACTCCATACGCGCCAAACTGACCGGTGCGTCGTGAACCTAATCTTAAAAACGTTCGAATCCCGACGTTAACGATATTGGGAAATATCCGTGGAAGAGTCGAGAGAAAGAGGAGACGGTACCACGCACCTCATTAACTCGAAAGTGATGCACAAGTGGTTCCTGAAGTAGAAGTATTCTAGCATGTGTATCACATTGTGGGAGGCGTTAGCCTCCAGGTCCTTCTTCCTCAAGTGTTCCAAGATCTGCACCTCGATGAGTGCCTGGTGATGGAATCTCTTTTTGTTCCTGCAAGGACGAAAGCGAAGTCGCGTCGTCATTCGGATGAAACGGACAAAGCGTCTACCGCGACTGGCAATTGATCGCGATTCGACGTGATTCGCGGCGACCGAGTTGTCGCGCGTTGGCTCTCGCTCACCTGATGATCTTGATGGCGATGTACCGTAACGTCTTGTGGTCCAGCGCTCTGATCACTTGGCCGAAGCTTCCTTTGCCTATCACCCCCAGGATTTCGTATCTGAACATTCCAAAGAAAACAAGTCCACTTCGTTGTTGTTGTTGTACAAACGAAACGTTCGAATAGTCGTACGTGGAAGAATTCTATATATATATATAAATATAAAGGCAAACATAGACGCGCAGAAATTCCGCGAGCTATTCTCGACACTCGGTCTTTTCGTTTAGAGGCGAATCTCCGAGCACCTTTCGGTTCGATGGGATTGCTCGAATTAATCCGAGTTGAAACGTACCTCTTATCGAACGGAGAATTTTACTCGACGAATCGAAAGTTTCCTGCGATCCAGTTTGGCGCGATCCAATGAATTTTTGGTAATTTCACGGCGATTTACTTGGCCGCCGTTAACGAAACGTTCCGTTGGAATAGAGAGATCGTTCGATCATTGGCCATCGCCGACCGCGATCGAGTGTTTTGACTGTTTTATTGGGAATCGTTCGACGGTAATTGCATACTCCGAGACACGGCTAACCATTGTAGCCGCGCGACGGTGAGATTAGTGTCAACGATAAGCTTCGGTCAATGTTTTTCAGCCTTGAATTTCTAATGAGTTTAAAAACCACATAGATAATATTCGTTTGCGCAATCATCGTTACGTTTTCGTAATTTCTCGCGACCGATAGCCGTAAAAACCGATGCAGCGGAAAGGTGAACGGCACGCTTTTCTTTCTTTTTCACAGTCAACGGTTTATTAACTACGATGCGTGTTGCGATTCAACAACGCTGAACGTCTAAAGAATAAAGTAAAATAAACTAAAGTAAAGAAGGAGAAAAAGAAATCCTCCTCTTCCGCAAAGAGCGAGACTTGTCAGGATTATTATTTCAAGCGAGTGATTATTTTCTTTGAACGCATAATGACCGGTGCCGCTTACGGGGAATCTTGTCGTGGGCGCTCTTTCTCGGTAAACCGCTTAAGGCTGATACACGCAAACACGTGAAATCGGCGTAAATAAACACAGGCCGGCTTAAGTGGCAATTAAAAGGAAAGTCTGTTGCCGTCGTGGAAACGATGGAAACTCACCTGTACGAGATGTGATCGTGGAGGACCTTGTTGTAATTCCCGTTTTCGTCGTCGTAGCCGCAGTTCTGAGACGCCCCCTCCTCGCCGTGTATCTTTTGGGCCGGTAGGCCCAGATACCAGATCTCCGAGTATTTTTCGATCTCCGCGCGCTCGAATCCCGTGAGCCTTGGACCGAAAAACCTGAGCGCATCTTGAGGTGTCATTGGCAATCTTCCGGCTGCGTTTGTTTCATTATTTTTTCGAAACAAAAGAAAAGCAAACATTTCGAACGATTAGAATCTGCCTCGGGGGAATTTCGGCGAGACGCTATTTCAAACGATTCGACTGATAAGACTCGATTTACTAGATTTACTAGATTTTCATTTTGTTCGTTATCGCGGAGCAAAAGGGGAAACGGACATTCTAAGGGTTGACCGTCGAAGGGATTCTTTGAACCGGAGAATATTTTCGTTTCCTCGGCGTTCGATGTAAATGAATGCGTACAGTATGTGTCGTGAGACGTGGCGTTGATGGAAGGCTCGTGAATCGGCATGCTGTGGATGTTGTTCGTCGTAGAGTTGTTCGTGTTGTTGTTGTCCGATTTGTCCACTCGGGTCGGTTTGGGGTGAAAGAATGACTGTATCTTCTGAAACAAACAATCATCGCAGAACTCGTTAACCAATTTCCTGGAGGACGATTAAGTGTCGCGTATTGTATAAATAGCGTTATGCAAACAAGTTATATGTGCTCGAACTATTAAAAAATCATTATACACTAATCGAATAACAAATTCTTTTCCGCGGAAACAAATGGTACGCCTATTTACGTTCGCTACAACGATGGATTTACGATTCGTTTCGGCCCCAACGTCCGCCATATTGCCGCGTCAACGCGAAACAAGTTTTTCCACGCGTCGCGGACGAGACCGGCAACTTTCAAATTTATTTATTCGTGCCAGCGGCGCGAAGAAAGTTTTGTTTACGCCGCGGTGTTTTACAATCGGGTTAGTTTTCACGGGGAAAAGCGGGGAAAAGCGGGGAAAAGAGGGGAAACGGTGTCGGCCGCGACAAATTCCACGGTAGACGACCACGAGACGGCGACCAGAGACTCGCACCGCTGATTACGGATCCGGCCAGGGATCGGAATGGAACAATGTCGCGTGTAAAGCCTGCAATTAGTCGACGGAACGCTCACGAACAACTGGACGAGCGCTATGCGAGCCAGAAGCGAAACGCCACTACGAATCATTCGTAACGCAATCCGATTACGGATCGACACGCTCGCGACGGTCACCGTTTCGTACTTCGGAGAAAACCAAATTACTTTTACGCGAGTCTGTGTTTAAACTTGCGACGCGCGGTATAACGTGCGAGCAGTGGACGAAAAATTGCAAAAATACGCCGCATTTTAGAAAGCATTGGCAACGATTAGCTGTGGACTCGGTATTGAACACGGTTTGGAGAATCGTTCTCGCCGGATCGAGATCGGATGATCGAGCAGTCGTTCGTCGTTGACTGGTTTTCAGCGACTGCTTCCCATCGAGAGTCTGCCTACTCGCGGATCAAAGAAAATCTCGCGGATAAGCGGGCAAAAGTTTCGATCTGGATATTGACCCTGGAGACGCCGGGGCAGCAGAAGTTTAACGGCCCCGACAATTATGTCTCCTCTTCGAGGCATTAAGGCGTTTCGTTTGCGGAGCGTCGCCTTTCCGTATGGCCAAGGCCAGTCACCGGTCGCCGGTGCCGTTTTGAATGACAATCAGCCAGCAGTCGTCTGGCCGTCGTTGTCCCCTTGCCAGAGAGTTACACGACCTACGGTGGCCATTAATTTGCCGCGCGAGTACACTCTTTTCACGACGCGCCCGATCGCGGGACGCGGCCGACCCGATGCGACCTGCGGGTTGTTTCACGATTTGACTCGCGTATCGTCGCGCGACCGGTCGTTATGCCGCCAAGTTACGGGCTCGTAAAACACCGATCAATCCACCGGACGAAGCGACGCTCCCGGGAACTGAAATTAACCCTTTAACAGCGAGAGAGGCTATTCGCGGTCGCCGTTTGCTCGGATGCGACCAAATTGTCGAGTGCGACGTTCAACGTCGAATTTCGTGTAACGCGGTTGCGCCTATTATTAATGCTGAAATATTCGAGTATTCCGATGAAAGGTAAAGTCCGCCGGAAAGTTTCTTCGCGTTTCGAGCTTCTGTTTGAGGTTCAAAGGAAAATTTCACTTTGTTAGGACAACGCTGAACTATCCTTTACGCGTTATATTCGCTGTCTACGGTGTAGCATGACCAGAAGCAAAGTCGATCTCGCTAGGCGATTCCTGACACGTTTCCGGGTACTTTGTTGGATCGAAGTCGCGCGTCGGAACGCAAATGGGCGTCGCTGACCCAGACAATATTTCCAAGTCCGTTCTCTCTTTCTGTTACAACAATCGACGATGCTGTGTACAGCTTTGTTCCGTGAAAGAACATTTCTTGCCGTCTAGTCTCGAATGTTTCGTCGTCGACGGCCAAAATCGTCTCGTCTTCGCAACGATTCACGTTTCACCGGGCGGGTTTCGTCGAACACAATGGACGTTGGTATTATGCAAAATGTAGACCAATCGCGTCTTAAAATAATTGAAACGCGATTCTTCGATGGATCCTAAGTTACCCTCCCGCGACATTCCGAGAAAGTAAATTCAGCCGGGAGAAAGGAATGTTCCCTCGTTGCGGTTATGCGGCAGGTCACGTGACCCTTTAATAGAAATTTATGTCAACGTTTGTCCGGCGGTAATCGTCGTTGACCCGAATCAATTGCCATTGAACGGTTCCCTGGCGCGGCGAGGAGCAGAACGCGCCCCTTTCGGAGCGTCTTCGAGCAGCGCTGACGTCGCATCCGATCATTGTCTATCCTTCGAATTGAAATGTCAAACGGTACGATACCGTTTTCATTTAAACCGACGCGATACAACTATTCGTTGGCAAGTTCGCGTTTCGATAGTAACGCGAACGACAGAGCCGAAGACGTCGACGAGGAAAATCGAGGTGTCCGAGAAACAGTGACGGAACGATCGAAAGTAGCCATAAACGGAGCATTGGCACTTTAACCCGACCGTGTCCCGAAAGCCTCGCGATGTTCACAGTCCCTCGGCGTATCTATTTAAACGTCGGCATCAAGGCCCGGGAGAAACACCTTGGGTGCACGCCTCGAATATTTCCGTGCGCGTCACCCGCCTTCGAAGCGACCGTTCTCCGACTCGCCCTAAGTGGCTGTCTAAATTGTCTCGTTTTATTGGTAACCCGCTCCCCGTGGCGCGCTGGCCCGCACTTTCTGGTATTTAAGAACTCCTCGCCCACCGTTCGTATAACTCGCAGTGTATTTTCTTGGTTAACTCGATGACCGCTTCGATAACCCCTATGGACTCCGTCGTGCTCTTCGGCGCTATGAGAATTTTATACTTTAATTTTCGCGAAAACGCGAAATCCCCTACAATCGAATCTTCGTTGATTTCGGTTCGAATCGCTTGTGGCCACAGGGGTTAACAGGGTTCGAATTGGAGCCGCGCGCGACGGTTCCAATCTCTAGCGGGGCATCTTTGTTCACCTCCGTGTCGCCGCATCCCTCTGGAGTCCAAGCGGCCGAGGAGCTGGCGACAAGGTCGGCGTCGCTCGGTTCCCAATCGACCACGCGTAATGAAAAATTATTATCGCGCGGACAATCGCGCGGACAATCGCACGACCGCGGCGCGTCGGTGCAAATAAAAAGCAAAGGATAGCAGCCTTCTCACCCCTGGCGAGCTTGCATATAAATTGTAATCCTGTACGCCGAGCGAAGGGAACGGGGAAACGAAGAAATAAAAGATTTTCTCTTATTTCACAGCAGCGTTGCGCGGCGCCGCTGCGAAAGCACCCTTAATTTTCCTGTCGTTCTCTCTCGTTCGGCTGATTTTCACCGCGACACTCGGGGCGGTGACGTTGCTGGGCGACAACGGGTGCGCGCTAACGGCTCAAAAGCATAAATAAAACGCGGGGCTCGAGGAGGCGCGACGACGGGCCAAGATTCACGCAACGACCCGATACGCCAAGCCAAAATCCACGTTCGACCCTCGACACCGAGTTCCCCCCGAGAGAGGACGGACGGGTCCCTTGTGTTCTCTCGCCGCTTTAAATAGTTTCGGGCGGGGGTCGCCGTACGGCCACGTTTTCCGCGGGCTCGTTACTCGGCTCGGCGATACGTGAAATTAAAGATCGGGAATGGTTCCGAACTCTTTCTTCCCCCCTTTTCTAGCTGTCGGATGAACGAGCTGTCTCATCTGCGACTCAAAGCGTCAAAGTATAAACCTTCGGACGCTTAAATAATAGAGATGAAACAAACTATACACCGATCCCCCTTGCCGTTTCAGTAATTAAATCATCTGTTCGCAACACGGTGTTCGAAATATCAAAGTCCGAATCGGTGGAATGATATCGTGTCGGTGATCGATACGATGCGCCTATCGATAATGTCCCTAGAGGACAGTCCTAAAGAAAGGAAACAACACACCTGACCTAGGAATAGAGGACGCGGCACGAAGGAAGGAAAGATCAGGCTCTCCGTAACAGCGGATTTTTCCCAAGGACGGCGGTACGTTCCAACTCGGCGGAGCGGTGTGTTTCGATCTTCGAGAGATAGGTACCTACATACAATAATTCCCTACGTCCGAGTTATGCATGCGGTTTACCTTGTGACATCTCTTGGCTGCGGCCACGCGCCTTTCTAATGCGAGGGGCACCGTCGAGAAGCCTATTATTTACTGGCTGGCTGAAAAGTAGCCGACTCTTTTACCTTTCTTTCCAATAGACGGGGACTGTTCTTTGCAACATTGTAGACACGCGTGATCGCATCGGTGGTTTAGGCACTTTTCGCGCCTTGCGGTTTAGACCAATTGGAAAGTGGAAAATTGCCCAACCCGAAAAACCCATTGTACCATGTTCCTTAAGAAAAACCATTCCCAACGACGACTCCATATTCCTAATTACATTCTTCTAAATGTAAATTCGCATCGTCCGGAATCTGATCATCAGTCCGCAATCTCCATACAAACGAGAATCTTTAAGAATATAATTAGAAAAGCAATAGAAAAGTGTTTTCCCAGCGAACACTGTAAAAAGCACTGCGTCCTACGTATACTCTATAATATACATATTTCAAATTCCGTGCATTTCGTGCATCGATGCAGTTGCAAATTGCCCGGAAGAGCCATAGAAATCGACAATCTGCCGATCATCGATGGGTTCATCCTCGGACAACATCGATTTCCCTTGATCGCGACAGTGGCCCGCCGGTGCACGCGATGCACGCGATGCACGCGATGCACGCGATGCACGCGTGGGCGTGCAAGGTATCTCTCGGAAGCGCGGTAGAAAACGTAACCCCGCGCCGAGGAACAGGAGCTCGTTAACCTGCGTGCCGCGCGCGCACTCGCGGTCGGCCGCCGCGCCGAGTAATTAGAAAAGTAACGCCGTCACCGCGTCAGCCATTTCGCGGCCGGCGCGTGGGCCGAGCACCGAGTTTTCTGCCTTCAACCCCTCGCCATGCGATAACCTGAGTCGCGGCGAATGTTTCGAACAGAATTCAACTCGTGAATGAAACAGTAACTTAATTGTGTTTCGATAAATCA